CGCGTCTCGAAACTAAGACTTAGAAAGGCGTGTCCTAATCATTTTGATCAAAATATATTTTCGCACATATATGTATTATAATTAGAATACATATACATATGATTATAATTATTATAAATAATAATTCATAAGAAAACATTCTGCTAATGCTTTCATAAGAAAAGGTTCTGCATAATGCTTTTATATTAATCAATTAAAAACAAAGGAACGTAATAATTACTGGAAATAATTGTATTTACGTGATATTTTATTTTAATTTTACCTTTTTTTTATTTGTCAAAATTACTGATATATAATAAAATAATAAGAAAATTATAATTTTATCTTTCATTTATAAATACATAATAATAAATACGAAGACGACAAACATTAAGTTCGCGCGCTACGATCTTTTTTAGACCAATCATTACAAATATATCAAATTTTATGTAGATATAAGCGTCTTAATTACATCATCTATTTTCGTATAAAAATATTATATGAACGAACATTGACATAAGATAAAAATATAATAGTATTAATAAATTGAAAAAAAATATAAACAGAAGACGAAAGAGTACGACAAAAAATTACCAGTACGCGATTACTCCCAGGTTATCTGTAAACGGCGAGATAAATCGAGTAAATTCTCAATTGAGCAAATAGGCAGCGTAGGTCAGAAGAAATTTAGAAAAATTCCGGCGTTTTATAATACGACGAAGAGCAGGCCCAGAAAGAGAGTTTCCGACCCGTCGAACTGGAGGAGGAACATAAACAGAAATAGGACAGGTTTCCAAGGTTGCATCTATATATAGGACGCACACATGCATATGGCACGCATATATACGCGAGGAGTGAGCGCGTACTATGGGTTGAAGCGCGTAATCGCGTGGTGCTCTCTCTCTCTCTCTCTCTCTCTCTTTCTCTCTCTCTCTCTCTCTCTCTCTCGCTGCCCTTCGTCTTCTCGCTCTCTTACCAGAGGTCTAGAGCAACCTAACACGCGTATGAGACTATATTATATACGCACGTAGTACGTACGCACATCGCACAACACACCATGTCCCGATGTCGCTCTATAGAGAGCGATCTACGCGCGACGAGAAAACAGACCAGCGACGTTCATTCATGCCCTCTCGAACGCACGTCCAGAGAGGAGTTACTTTACGACACACGGACGTGAACAACGACTTCGCCTTCGTTTCCTCCACAACGACGCAACACGGTTCTTTTATTTCCCTCAAAATATACCGTCGAATATAAATCCTTGTGTCAAGGAAAACAAATGTATTACAATTTTGGATTGTGTTGCGTCTCGTGACGTTAGAACCAGTCAAAATATAATCTATGTTTAAAATCTTATGAATATTAGCCCGTAGATTGATCCAGAATTCGCACACGAGGAAAAAGAGAAGAAAAATTGTAACACAGTATTTTTCTTTTTCGTAATGCATCGATGTTATTTTTATGCAATATCGTCAAGGTTAAGTAATTATTTAACGCGCCAACTCGAAATTGCCTGATAATTTTTTTTACGACAGAATACAAAAATTAACTATTCTTATAGAAAGACCTTGTCACATACAAATTCTTGCAAATTCAAGAAATGTAATAGCGTGATACTTCAATTCTGATAATCTAATTTTACAAAATAATTTTACAATTTTACAAATTTATGAAACAATGTTGGTAATATTTTAACAAAAAATATTTCAAAATTTTTAACAAAAATTTCTGTATTGTGAGTTAAAAAGGTACCGAATTTTATTCCATACAAACTAATATTCTCTTTTAATATGAAAATTACGACGATGGCGAGTTGAACAAAAGAACTGTCGATGATCCGCAGTACGCATAATACGAAACGTCAAAAAATTTTAACAAAGGCAATCGACCGAATAAAATTTACCGAGTTCATTTGCCAATGCAACGTTTTAACAATTTTAAATGTCCAATTAAAAATTTTAGTGCAAAAAAAAACGCGCAAAATTCATATTAATGTAATACAGATGCAAGCTTCTTTTCGAAAAAGCAAAGTTCCGATTAGTTTTAAAATATTCTTGAAACTTTGATTTTTTTTAAAACTTCCTACCCGTAATAAGATCCTGTTTCTTTGAAACGCTCTTGAAAAGTGGTATGGAGCCGCGTGCATATTTCAGAACTTCACTTGAGTGCGCGAACCGGTTCCGCAAACTCTTTCGCAAAACCGACGAGCAACGATTAATATTAAAAGTCAGTAGAGCGAATTAATCGGCGGTTGGGACCGCTATCGAATTTGCGCAAACTTCGACGTCGTTTCTGCCTCTTCCCCTTCCTCGAGAATTCTTAGTGTTCGAATTTCACGAAGCGACGAATCGAAATCCATTTGTCTTTCCGTGAAGTCGAATATCGTTGCTACTTTGTGAGATCTTGATGTTTATTCGAATACTCATAATGCGCAATACTACAATTGCGATAAACTTCAACAGGAGATCCTTTTTAGGAGTACTAGACAATCTAGATGTAACATAATGATGTAACAAACTTTTTATCTGAGCCAAATGTCGGTAACTTTCCTATTGACTATTTCTTCGATCATTTTTTATCTGATGGCCTCACATGATCTGAGAATATAAAATGTTATTGAACAACTTGGAGAGTTGTCACAAATACAAAAAAATGATACGACTCTTATGATCTGTGACACGTTAAGGCTACGGTCGAAGTCTCACTACAAATGTTTTGAAGCGTTTGATGGCCTAATTGGAAGAATTTTGAAAAAATTGAGCAATCAAAAAACGCTTTAAAGCATCGCATTGACTGAATCCTAAGTTACATCATGTTACTACAAGATTAAATTTCGATGACTGACTGCTTCAAATTTGACTCCATCATCAATGCGCAACTTCTTAACATTATGGTCTATCGTTCAATAAGCAGTGATTCTTTAATATAACGTAGTTATTAGAGCAAACAGACTTTTGCACTACTCTGATACAATTGAAATTCTAGAGCTCTTTCAACCCTCTCTTTTTTTGTCTCGTTAAAGACTTCCGTTTTATCCCTATTCTCAAGAACCGAGAGCATATCTTCCGAGAATCTTTGCCATCATTTGGACACCATCTGCCGCGATAGAAATCGCGCGGTACGTTTTTATCTAAATATTTGGAGATCATAAAACGTGGCGAGCGACAAACTCGTAAAAGAAACGACTGGATTAACTACGGTCCGGTGGAACGCGGTTACGTAACAAGGAACCAAGTAGCAAGTTGAAACCGAATCCAATTTTGCTGCTATGTGTTTGCGTAAGGCGAGATTTATTCTCGTGTGGCCAGCGTTTAAAACAACACATTTAAAAATAGAAAATATTGTGGATTTTTTGAATTTCATGATTTATATACGAGTTGTCGTAACGAACTTGCTTTTGTATAAAAAAGAATGTTCAATATTCAAAAGCGGAACTACTTATTAGTGCTCGAGTCTTTCTTAGCCACACCCAGTTTTTACATCATAAACATTAATATTGTAAGCAATCTCTACTTTTTATATACATTCTTAAATTCCAATCTATCTATATATATATAAGCGGTTTTCCAGTTTTTTGTGAATTACATTGAAAGACTTCGACCTTCTTTCATTCTCACGTGTCTGCTTTAAGGTGTCGTCTTTTCCGGAAGACACACCCACACTAAGGCAAAGATTTCGATGGGAAAATGACTCCCGACGCGTTCCTTCTCATCTATCATTCTTCCGAAGATTCGGCTTTTTTCTTTCTTTAGCGAAATGTAGACTCTCATTTGAGAGTCTCATTTGCGTGAAACTAACGATATCTTTCTATCTCACAAAAGTAAAAAGTGTACAAAGTAGTAAAAGTCCGAAACATCTAAAAATATCCTTTACTAAATATTTGAATAATACTTATCATTTACTTTCGATAAACAAAAAAAAAGTTTAATCAAATTAATAATTCTTAAATAAAGAAATATTGGGTTGTCCGGAAAGTTCGTGCCGATTTTGAAGGAAAAATTGAAATGCAGAAAATTTAAATTTTAGAGTACATTTATTAAATTTAAATCTTTTGCGGCACGAACTTTCCGGACAACTCAATAAATGTTCATATTTAGTAAATTTTCAATTAGTACTATTGAAACAAATACTTATTAAATTTTGATATATTTTTCTTAATGTATTAATCTTTCATAATAGACGACACAAATTGAAGTATCAAATTACGACATTTCCTACACAAAAAAACTTCTTAAATCAACCATAATATACTCATGTATAAGCAAAAATATTGTAACCTTGCTTCGAAGAAATTATTCTTGATTTGATTGAATTTGTTTTGATGCAAGTATTACTTTGCACTCAAATCAAGACTTGCTTAATCAAAAATCTTTTTGATACATTAATACAAATTCAATCAAATCAAGAAATTATTAAAATCTTTAAAGCAAGATTACAATATTTTTGGTTATGTATATTATGGTTGATTTAAGAATAGAAAGTCTTTCTTTCTGTGTATATTTACAAAAATTTGTATTTCAGTTGAATTCCTTCTATAAAAATAATTTAGCTTTGCTTGTTATAAAACAAATTATCAGGCAATTTTCAGCTACATTAAGAATGAATAATACCGTTAATGTGCACTGTGTTAATATTTAAAAAAAATGTAATACATTTTTATAGAAAAAAAAGAATATAAATATAGATAGAAGAATGTTGAATAAAAGGGATCTAAAATTCCTTTCCCCTTTTACACATACATATTATATACAATATACCTACATATACACACACACACACACACACA